CGAAAAAGACAAGACGGCAGAAGTTTAACAAACTGTTCCCTGATTAACCCTCACATAAACAGATTTACAGCTTTGCTAAGTTCAAGTTGGAGAAAATTAATTAAACAAAAAATAAAACTCAGAGAGGTTCCCTGTGGTGTAAAAACAAATTAAAAAAGTAAAAATTATTAATATCACTGTTGCATCTTCCGCGGTCTTCACAAAAGCGACTGAAGGCTGCCCCTGCTGGCCAGGTTTTGTACTACTTCTACTAGTATTTTTGACTACCTAAAACTTGTATGTTGCTTCTTCCAAGTGCCTGCAACAAGTTCAAAAATTTTCATTTGAACTCAAATCAAAAAATCTGTTCGAATTACTTAATGTCTACAGGTGTCATATAATTCCATCTGTTTTTCTTTCTTTTTCTAAAACTGAAAGAACAGTTGAAAGGAAATTGATACTTTCTGACTATTTGGTCTAAAACCATGGAAAGAAGTAGCTTTTGTCTTCACTTTGAGAACACTTCATTCACGGACGCAACATTACTTTACACAGTACATCACTGCATCAAAAATAATCCTGGAACCCCAATACAGGAATTTTGTTAAAAGACACAGATGAAAGCTGAAGCATCAATGCCGTCAATACCAGTGCTAAAATCTGGTCTTCAAGTTGTACTATAAAATAAATTCCTAGCAAATGCATTCTCCACAAGAGGTTTTGGAAATCACCAAATAAGGATCTCTTTTTACTGGGAGCCACATTTTGCCTTATTGTGACGACACCACAGAGTACCATCTCGGCACCGTATCGTGAAGAGGAGTTTAAATCCACGCAGGAGATAACGTTGAATAGAAATATTCAGAGATGCAACGGGAGCAGTTTCCTGCTACATTTTATGGTAGGTGGAAAAAATGGAGCGAAGGAATGGGGTTACAAAACGGGCAACCGTCATGAGCAAACTCCCCGAGGAAACCGGTGGCCTGTCACGGAGAGAGAGACGTGACATAAGAAAGACTGGTGCCTCAGTCAACACAGGCTGGGGACATATTGTGCACGTGATGGTGAAAGATGAGAACATTTTATGGTGAAGAAAATTATTCATATGGTAATTACTGCAACAATATTTCACTGGTCTGGACCGAAGGACGAACCGGGTAACAGCAATTATCCAAGACCCGAACGAAAGGTGAAAAAAAAATTCATTGGTCTGGTGCTCCGAAGGAAAAGTTGCACAAATGCAGCGTAAAAGAAAAAAATAGAACTCATTGAGTTTCTGTCGGGTATTTTAAAGTGCAGGTTTTGGAGTGAAGAGATTAGCACTGAAGAGGTTTTTTTTTTTTTTTGGAAGTGGATGGGAAATAATGAGCTTTACCCTAGCTGAGTGCAGATAAAAGACGGAATGGATGTTTTTGGCTGTGAAGCTTCGAATGTTAGCAGAGGACGAATGAGGTGAAGATGTGAAGGAGAAGCTTTGGTGCCAAACGTAGGTTTGGGAAACAGGGTAAAAATTAAGCTTCTTAGCATTTTCTTCAGCAAATAATTGCCGGACTTACAGTTCACTGGGTGAAAGGGTACAATGGAAATAAATGCTTTTTAAAAAATGTCAGTCATAGACTCTATGGATTTTATCTTTTTAACTATTTGCTATTAGTCACCGTTCTCCAGATGTCCTCACTTCAGCAGTTTCTCCGACAGAGGGGGAGATTGTCCTAAACTGCCACCTTACAGGTGATACAGAATGTAGCCTCCTAATGCAATGTTTCCCAAACTTTTTTTCTGCGGACGCATATTTTAAAAGTCACAAATCTTCACGACCCAAGTCAATAGACATTATTTATAACTCCTGGGAAACATGATGCAGGACGTCCCAAAAAAAAAAAATTCTTGCGACCCACCTGAGGCCCACGACGCAGTCTTTAGGAAACAATGTCCTAATGGAGCAACATGGAAATATATCTATGTATTTATTAGAGCAATAATCAATCAATAATCCCATAACAAGAAAAAGCAAGTATGCATGGCAGAGAGTGTGCATCTGAGGATAGCTCGTGCTAGTGTTGGTCTTGGTCAACTTGATGATAGTCACGGTGGTGGTGAGGAAATTCTGTTGCCTCTTTAAAAAAAAAAAATCAAATGAGTTTAGAAAAGAGTCAAAAATTCCCTGGCTCTGCATGAAAACAGTATTCAATAACAACACTGATCTGCGACTGTAACATATTCGTTCCCACATCAGATCCCTGAATCGAGACTCAGCCAGGGTAACAAACAACCCAGGTTTTTTGTTTTTCTTTTCCCCCACCTGTGGTTTTCACTTATTCTATATTCAAGCCCTTGGCAGTTGATGTGCCTTCCCACCTTGCAGAAAACCTACAACTTATCCCAGTTGCTGCAAGACGAGCACGTATGAGCAGGTGTGACGTCAACAGTGATCCCCTGGGAGTGGGTAAAGAATATGGTGTGGGCGGCAGCAGTGAGGTAAGATGTGTGTCTGCCAGTTTACCCGATGCCCCTGCAGACCTCCTGCCCGCGGGGAGGAGTTTACTCCTAAGGACATCATCCTATCACAGAGCTGACAAGCAAAGGGTGGTGAGTATCCAGCTGAGCCCAGAGTAGAAGAGACGACTGGGTGCAAAAGCTGTCAGTCAGATGGACAGCGGCAGCGACTTCTATTAAAGGGTCACACAACAAACAACACTGGTTCCCACACACAGAAACACACACAACACAGTGAAGATAATTACGATACAGAGGAAGCAAGTGTGTAAAAACAAACAAACAAAGTATTTTCTTGATGTTCATTCTTTTAATAAGAAAAAAAAGCACCAATCCAGAATCAGAATATACTTCCACATTTATAGGTGCTTCAACTTCACTGCAGGTCTGAATTCAAATACTGCTTCCACCTTAGTGTTTATTACCAAAAAAAGTCATTTCTCTTTGATACACAATGAAAAAAAAGCTCAAGCACAAAAAAAAGCACAAAAGCTAAAAACTCACAGAAGTTGTAAATTAAATTTTCTTTTTTTAAAAAAACAAGATTGCTTCAAGAATTAAAAAAAACAACAACTAAAAATCACAGTTTTTTTCCTTCATATTCAAATTTCCAGATGTTAAAAAAAAAAAAAAATCATCATTTGCATTTCAGCAGCTACTACGGTCCATAAACATGAGACATCAAGAGATGTGTAACTAGACTCCGTTGTCCATAAGGCGCTTGTGTAAAGCCTGGTATAAAGTTCAGCAATTATAACAATACATGGCTTTCAAAGGAAAGATTTTCTGCAAGAGCAGAAAAAATAAAAAATAAAATATATATATATATATATATATATGTGTGTATAAATATATATATATATACATATATATATATTTTTCTACATACATACATACACACACACATATATACATACATATATATACAGATCCTTTCCAAAAAATTAGAATATTGTGAAAAAGTTGTTTAATTTCCATAATTCCATTCAGAAAGTTAAACTTTCATATATTCATAGATTCATGGGCCACAATTTAATCAATTTCAGGTATTTATTTGTTTATTTTTTACATAATTTTGGCTTCCAGCTCATAAAACCCACAAAAACAGGATTTCAATAAATTAGAATACTGTGAAGAAATCATCAGGGCATGAATGTTTTAAACTGAGTGTCACACACCAATCATCTACTAAACTCAAAGCACCTGCACAGGTTTCCCCAGGTGTTATTTAATTGCTTTGGTTTGGTTCAATTGTCTCAGTTCGGTTCAATATGGGGAAGACTGCAGACATGACAACTGCCCAGGAGACCATCATTGATACCCTCCATAGGATGGGTAAACCTCAAAAGTTTATAGCTAAGGAGGCTGGCTGTTCACAGAGTGCTGTGTCCAAGCATATCAATGGAAAGTCTACTGGAAGGGAAAAATGTGGCACTAGCAAAAGAGATGACCGTGGGCTTCAGCGGATTCTCAAACAGAGAAGATTCAAGAATCTGGCAGAGATCCAGAAAGAGTGGACTGAGGCAGGAGTCACAGCTTCAAAAACCACCACATTCAGACGAATCCGGGAGATG